TCTTTTTAAGGCTAAAGTTCTCATGGTAATGCTATACGGTTGAAAACCTTGATACTACAATCTACAAAGACACAAAGCTGGGCCTTACCTAAATGGGGACGGCGGACACGAATAGGCTACAGCATGTGTCCAGTGATGATATAGGTGCAAGAAATGGTGTAAGGAAATGTCTGATCAGAAAAGAAGATGGGCCTTTCATGTAGTAAGAGCAGGGAGCGATAGATGGATACCCCAAGTGCAGTGGTAGCCAAGAATGTTTGTGTTGTTGTGGTTGTTGTTACTGTTATGTTTTAACCTAGAGAAAGAGAAACAAACTAGAGAGTTTTTAACCTAGAGAAAGAACCTCAGAAAATGGATAAGAATGTGATCAAAATTTAGGTTTTAAAGAGGTTTGCACAAAGTGAAAGTATTATTATACCCATTTCACAGATGAAGAAAATGAGCCCTCAGAGAGGCTAAATGATTTCTCCAGTATTACACAACCGAAATAGTATCATATAATTAGGAAGTATGAGAGCCAGGATTTAAACCAGGACCTTCTGATTGTTGAGTCCGGGTTTATTCCATTATATCTCCAAGGATTAAAAACAAAACAAAACAAAAATAAAACAAACAAACAAACAAATAAAATAACCCAACAGTTTCAAGTTAAGCATGGGTTCAAATTTCCCCAGTTCCTTGGTTTACATTGGTTACTTCTAGAATTGCTCTGACTCTGGAACAGAGTCCTACCACTAAAGAATATCCTCTTTCAGTACACTTTGTTCAAAAGTGACCTGGTGCACTCTAAGTTTGGGGGTGAGGTCAACTAAAGATCATCTGTTTTTAGTAAAAAGATCATCTGTTTTTAAAAAAGTAGAGAAAAAGTATTGGGGGTAGAAAAAAGAGAGAGGAAGAATAAGATAGAAAGAAAGGTATTCATGTTTTGTTTTGTTTTTCCCCCAGTGTTTAAGATATTCTCCATTTGCCATTTGCTATTTTGTGGTACTGAAGCAAAACATTTAGAATCTTCATGTTTCTTTTTATCATTGATGTTCATTCATTCATTCATTCATTTATTCATTATGTGTGGGGAGACCAAGTACAGAATTATTAGTGCAGCATATATAGTAAGAAAATGGCAAAATTCTAAGGGACCGTTTATCTTAAAATTGCACATAGATAACATATAACTATATAAAGAAGTATCACATTTTTGAAACATCCGAGTTTGGAAAGTATTTTTCCCATGTTGAAATTAAGTAAGGTTTCCTGTGTTTATATTATTTTGGATTTGCTTTTTTCCTGTTTTTGGACCTTTTATTTGTTTAAAAAAAGCAAATCTGAGTCATATTTTAAAAAATGATTACTCAATGTTTTAATTCATAGCACTGATGCTTCTTTTGTAAATGAGCCTTCACTCTAGGTAATGCTGTGAAGTGAAAATGGAAAAAATCAGGCTTTTCAGTAAATAATTAGTTGGATAATTAGTTGAGTTAGAAGCCTTTACTACTCAGAGTAAATCTCTACTAGACATTTTTAGAATGTTGGGAAATTGTTTTTACTTGCATTGTACTTTTGTGAAGTATTTAGTTTATATTTTCTAATAGTTGCAAGGGTTGCAAGCTGAGTTCTTATTCCATACTTATGCTCCCTATTTAAAATCATCTTAGCCAGAAATGATTGACAATTGTGCAAATCAATTGTATTCAAATAAATATTTACTTTAAATAATAATTTCTTGGAAAATCCTCAGGTGAACATTAATTTAAATTACATAACGTATTAGTCATGCAGTTATTATATAATTATTTATGGATATAATTTATTAAAGTGGAAATCATGATTTGTGATTTAAAGTATAATTGTTGAATTAGTCATAAAATTATAACTCTTCATGCTGATATTTGGGAAAGTGGGGGGAATGGAGAATTCTTGCTTATTTCACATGTAGAATGATATTTATGTTTACAAATTACTTTTTCTTTGGAAAGGTAAAGGAAGTAAAGTTGAAAGTATAAAATGTTTTGGTGGATTTTATTAGGAGGTGCTTTTAAAATAATTTGATCTAATACTCTCCAAGCTAGCTAAGCAAAATGCTTTTATGTTAAGCCATTGCATTGTGTTGAAATATACATTACAGGAAATCAACGGACAATAGGTACACTGTGAATTTTATGTTGGGAAAAATAGAGGCCTTTACTTTGCTAAGGATAGTTCAGTGAAAGCCTAGGTACCATGTAATCTAGAAAAACCTGAATGAGGCCATCATCAGAGGATTTAATTTATCCTTTCCTTCCTTTTCTTCCAGACTCTTTGTTTTTAAGCAGAGTTTGAATACATGCAAGTTCTTTCACATGAGCATCTCAAAATGGAGGCAAGAGTGAGCCATATACAGAACAGTTTCATCATTATTAGTGGTTTCCCACTGTAAAAGTGAGACACCTGTCCCACAGAGGTAATGTCAACAGATCCCTCTGGGGTCCAAAAAGTCACATAGTCAGCCACCAAGTAATTGTTAAGTAATCATTATGTGTTAAGACAGGGGTTTTAAGTTTTTTGTGTATTATTTGTCAGTCTCGTGAAGCTTATGAACTCCTCAAGAAAAAAAAAGTTTTTAAATGTATAATATAAAATATAGAGGGTCACAAATGAAACCAATTATATTGAGCTAGTTGCTGAAATATTAAAACAAAATAATTCAAGTTCGCTGACTATAGGATAAGAAGTGTTCCCTGCCCTTATAATGGCGGGGTAAGGGGAGAGAACATACAAATAACTACCTGCATACAAATCTTGTACAGTGTAAATAGAAAGCAGCCTCAGAGGGAATGTGGGAGGAGATGACTCCTGCCAAAGGTGGGCTTGGTACTTGAGCTGAGTCTTAGAGGAAGCCAGGGAAGTCAGGAGGCAGAAGTGAAGAGATGGACAATTTCAGGCAAGAGGTGCAGCCAGGGAAGGGCCAAGGAGACTGGAGATATGGGTCAGGCGTGAGGAACAGTCCATTGCCCCTGGATACCAGTTTGTGGAGGGAAGTATAAGTAGACTGGAAAAGCAGGTAGTGGCCAGGTTTGAGAAAACAACAACAACAGAGACAAACATTTATGAAGTGCTTACTACAAGGCCCTGGGCTAAGCATGGAGGATATAAATATATGCAGAAACAAAAACAGCCTCCGCCCACAAGGAACTTCCACTTTTTCTGTGTGAAGTAATTGGGGTTTAGTGGCTTGCCCCAAGTAACACAGCTAGTGAGTGTTATGTGTCTGAGGCTGGATTTGAACTCAGGTCCTCCTGACTCCAGGGTTGATGCTTTATCCACTGTACCACCTAGCTGCTTTGAGCTTCCATTTTAATGAAGAAAGACAGCACATAAAAGGAAACTAAAAAGGGGAGGAGTAGTTGAAGTTATCCCCCATGAAAGAATGGTAGGGAAAGTAAGTCAAGATTGCAGACTGGAAAAGAATTAGGGAATGACTGGCCTGGGAACTCTTAAGATGGGGATTCTGGGAGGAACCAACCTACGAAGAGGGAAAATCCAGCAGGATGGAGGATATTTCCAATGTGAGACATGCAGGGATTTAGTGATCTTCCATCATGAATAGTTTCTGTAGCATGCATGGTAGAAAACATTTGGAGTTAGGAGCACAGCCTGGAAAGCAATGAAGACAGGGCTGATTTAAGCATCCTTCTTAATTAAAATAGAGCTTTGAGTTTTAAGGGAAAAGTTTTAAATGCCTTGATGTTTGAACCTGGAAGTAATAGCAAGCCCCTGGAGTTTAGTGAGTGGGGGGAAGGGGATGGTGTGTGTGACATGGAGAGAATTCTGATTTAGCAAAATCACTTCAGCAGTTGAGGTGAGAGTGGAATGAAGTGGGGAGAGATCTGAGGCAAGGAAACTAACCAGCAGGCCATTACAATAGTCTTGGTGTCAACTGATGAGAGCCTGCACCAGGGTGGTGACATAGATATGAAATGTAGTAAAGATGACAATAAGAAGATTCGACAAGAGCATGAAATGCCGTCTGAGGTACAGTAAGAAGGACAATATCAATGGATTTTGGAGTATTCTTTAGGGAGTAAAATGTAACTGCCAGAGTAGGAAGGAGTTGGGTTACCAAGAGCTTTGAATGACAAAGAGGCTATTCTAAGATTCTGGAGGAAATAGGGAGCCATAAATAGATTATTAGTAGGAATCTTAAAGAATATGGAGTCCCATGCTCTCATCTTACAGGTAAGGTCATTGAAGCCTGATAGGTGAAGTAAAGTGTTCCATGTCAGGCAAAGAGCTATGGCAAACCATTATTAGATTCCAAATTCTCTAGATTTCTGGTCCTTTTATTAAAATGCAGTTTTGAAACTTCCCCAGGGTTCAAATTCCCATTCTTGGACAAATTACTTCCTCTCTCTAGGACTCAGTTTCCTCATCTGTAAAATGAAGCTGTGTACATTAATCTCTAAGGTCCCTGCTAAGTTCCAAGAGGCCATATTAGCATGCAATTTTGACTTAACAGAGTATTTATTTGTGCTAATATCTTTATGTCTTTGTATGTCTCCCCGTCTGTGTGTATGGATATATGTGATGATATGTACCTTAGGCAGCCTTATGGGCTTGCTCTTTGAAAGACTCCTAGTACTGATGATGTCTTCCCACCAGCTCTCAAGGACCCAAGGGTGTGTCTATGCAATCCCAGATATATCTACTGGTACTGAAATTGATAGAAAGGTGAGGGGGCAGAAAGGGGCTAAGGATAGGTAAATGCCTAAAAGGACTCAGTGGTCCTTTACTCCATATATCTTTCTCTATCTTTTCCAGAGGACTTTTGTTCTTCTTTCAGTCCAGTGGGGAGGTGGTCAAGACTCCTGCACCACTGGCATTACATTTATGCTCCTTGATTCACAGTATGTCAGAACTGGAAAGGATATGATAGATTATGTAATCCATCTTCCCTTGTCTTATTTTACAGAAGGGTAAACTGAACCCCAAAGAGATGAGGGGGCCCCTCCAAAGTCACACACCTAGTCAGTGATGGAGCTTGGATTCAAAACCTGGAACTCCTGACCGCAAGTCCATGGATCTTACTAAGCTATCTCATGGGCCCTGCAGGATTGGGGATGGAAGCAACCTGAATACCCTTTTGTGGGGCCACAGAATGTCTGGAGAGAGCCAAGGAATCCATCCTTTCATTCTTGAGGCCATTCCTTTCTAAATTGAATGTGGGTTCTTCTGATAAATCCAATGGGGACGTCAGCAAGCCACTCAGGTATGCATGAGTTAGGTGGCCCTGCTCCCAATTTCTGAATTACATTATTTGGATGTTTCCTCTCTGGTGTTGCAATTGTCATTAATATACTACTTAAGAGCAAGATCTACATGTACTTTGTCAAGGAGGTGCTGAACCAAAAAAGACCACAAATTATATGTTTTATATTGATTATGTTAGGTGACACTAATTATGCTGTGTTGTGAATGTCAAGATATTAAACCCCCACCCCCCAGTGTGGGTGAGATTCCTGAAGGGAACATTCACAACCACTTTGTGAACTAGACAATTGTCTCCTTGACATTTCTAGGTTAGTTTTTCAGAGTCAATGTTCTTTCGAGTCACACCTTTGATGTTAATCCTTCACCTGATGACGTTGACATTTCATTCAGTTTTTCAGTCACTTCAGTTGTGTCTGACTCTTCATGACCCCTTTTTTGGGGTTTTCTTGGCAAAGATACTAAAATGGTTTGCAATTTCTTTCTCTAGCTCATTTTAGAGATGATGAAACTGAGGCAAAGAGGGTTAAGTGATTTTCCCAGGGTCACACAACTAGTAAGTGTCTGAGGCTAGATTTGAACTCTTCCTGACTTCAGGCCTGGCACTCTCCGCCACCTAGCTGTCCCTTTTTATTCAGAGGTTTCTTCTTTGAACAGGGACAGTTTCAAAACAGGGATGCAGATTCTCCCAGGGTTTCAGATTTCTTGAGTATTTTTTGTTTTCTTCAGTGGCTATAAGGAGGGAGATCTGAGAAGGGCTAAGGGAAGGGGCATTGGTGTTGTTTTCATACTCTTAAGAGCTTTTGTCAACACGTATCAGGAGAGAGTGGAAAGGTGTTTGTAAAGTCACAGCTGACAACATACAAATTCAGGATCCAGAAGTTGTCACTTAGCACAGTTAGTCTTTACTTGTTTCTTCATTCCTTCATTCTTTCATTCATTCATTACATAAGCATCTCTAAAAATCTGCTCTGTATTAGGCTGTACAACAGAGGACAAAACAAACAAAAAAAAGTTGTGGCCCTCAGGGAAAACAACCTGCCCAAAATATATACAAAGTAAATACTAAACAGTTTGATGGGATGGAGGGAGCCCTGGAAGCTGGTGAAATTGGTGAAAGCCTTGTATAGAAGGTGGAATATAAGGAGGATGTTTGGAGTAGCTACAAAGACCAGCATATGCAAAGGTAGAGGGAATATCATGTAGGGGGAGGAATATTTGACTGGAATATCAAGTGTGCAAAGGGGAGTAATGTATAATGAACCTTGAAAGATGGTCTAGAATCAGATTTCAAAGGACTTTAATTTCAAGAGGAATTGTAAAAATTTTATCCTGGAGGCACTAAGGAGCTTTTGGAGCTACTTGAGGGGAGGAGTGACACAGTCATACCTATTCTTTTTTTCTTAATTTTTTTAAACCTTTTTTTATTTTTTTAGGCAATTGGGGTTAAGTGACTTGCCCAGGGTCACACAGCTAGTAAGTGTCAAGTGTTTGGTCTGAGGCTGGATTTGAACTCAGGTCCTCCTGACTTAAGGGCCAGTGCTCTATCCACTGCACCACCTAGCTGCCCCAGTCATACCTATTCTTTAAGAAGATCTATTTGGTGGTAATATAGATGATGGGCTGGAAAGAGGATAGACAGGAGGAAGAAGACCAGTTAGTACAGGCAACAGGTGATGAGGGTCTGAACTAGGATTGTAGCTGTGTAAGCAGGGAAAAGAGAATGGATTCCAGAGGTATTGTGGAAGAAGAATATGCAAGAGCCAAGGTGAGCAATGTGGAAAGTGGTTTTCATGTAGAATCCCTTCCATTCAGAGGTAGCCACAACAAGTGGAATAAATTATTGCCTGGAATACTAAAATGATGGAAGCCAAGTATTTTGGATGAGGGAGCTTACCCAGAAAGAAACAGATTCTCCCTGTCACCAAGGCCCAAGTGATAAATCACCACCTTTATTCTGGGTGTTTCTAAGTCTCACTGAGCTGGATAGTAGATGTCTTAATGCTCTTTGAATCACCTAGCCTCACCTTTTAGCATATGACACATCCCCCCACATGTTTGTTTAGAGCCTAATTGCAGGCCTCCTTTTTAACAGCCTGTCTGAATCCCCAAGTGTCCTCACCTCCCAGATTTAAAATAACAATATGACAATAATAGTTATTATCGTTATTTCCTTCTAAAGCGAACATCCGGGAAAGTCCTTGAGTACCTTAATCTGCTTATTGAAATCACTAGTAAATATGTTATTATTGATGATTCATTTCAGTCCTTAGCAATGACCTGGTTAACACTGAGTTTTAAACAAGTATAGCTTTGTACTTGAAAAATGTTGTTGCTTTGTATATTGACATGAATTCCTGAAACATCAGCAGTCTCACGTTAAATTGTGTTTCTAGTTTGACACCATGGATAGATAAACACATAGGGTTCAATCAAAAAATGCATTACCCTGCCCAATTATCTTCTGTCCCATGTCATACATTTGTAATGTGACTGGAAGGAGCTGAGGAAGATAAAAGTGAGGACCAAATTGAGGTACAAGTTCTAACTCTGGATCTATTAGCACCAAAGTTTGTCAAACTAAGTGATTAATCAGATACTTTTATACATCTGTGTTTTAGAATGTTCCCTGTCTTGCACTCTGTCACTGTCTCACTGTATTTGTGTCTCTCTCTCTCTCTCTCTCTCTCTCTCTCTCTTCTCTCTCTCTCTCTCTCTCTCTCTCTCTCTCTCTTTCTCTCTCTCTCTCTTTTTCTCTCTCTCTCCCTCTCTCTCTGTCTCTCATAATTTATTATTTTTATTCGAAGTTCAGCCTTCTAGGAACAGCCAGGTGGTGCAGGGGCAGCTAGCTGACATAGCAGATAGAGTACTGAGCCTGAAGTCAGGGAGACTCATCTTTGTGAGTTCAAATCTGGCCTCAGACATTTACTAGCTGTGTGATCCTGGGCCAGTCAGTTTGCCATAGTTTAATCCTGTTTGCCTCAGTTCTTCATCTGTAAAATGAGCTGGAGAAGGAAATAGGAAAGCACTCCAGTATCTTGCCAGGAAAACCCCAAATGGGGTCAAGAAGAATCCTACACTACTGGAATGACCAGACAGTAAACAGCAACAGCAGCTTCCAGGAATCTCAGTCACCTAGTCATGAACAATGAAAAGGTGAGAAATAAAGTATTACAAAGCATATGCACTAATTGTAAAGCATAGGCAGGAAACTCTTCTAGTTGCTGTCTTAGAACTCTATTAATTTAAAATCATTCATAAATCAAATTTATTTCTTCAATAAGCTTGCTAATAAGGGTCCTTAATAAGTTTGCTTACAAGTATCCTCAATAGAAATCAGACTCAGAATAGGTGAAGTAGAAACAGAAGATTACATGTGGAAGGGGTCTTATGAAAGACAAGGAGTAAGGGGTAGATGGCTTTTAGAGGTACTGATAATAAAGGAAAAGACAGAAAAATCCCTTGAAGTAGACAGAAGTATAACAGCACACAGCAGTTTAAGGCCAATTAGTTCAGAAGCAAACATCTCATGACACCCAAGGGCATTGGTATATCACAATACAGGATGGTAATGAATAATCATAATGATGACTCTTAATTACTGGCAAAAAAGAACTTATATTTTGTTCCAGATATTCTCTTTAAGAAGCCAGACATAGAACTATGTGATCCCTTTAAAAAAAGTCCTCTCAGAATGGTTAAAAATAAAACCTTAAAAGGTTAGCTTCAATTGTCCAGACAGTTTGCTTAAAAGGAAAAAATCTTGTTCCTGATAGTGCTGGATAAATGAGATTTTGTTTGGGGGTAGAGGTTGGGTGATTGTTTGGATATGCTTCTTTTGCTCTCTAAACTCAGGCCATGTCTAGTTTTCACATCTTGAAAGCAGGAGTGGGATCTGCTAGTATTGTAGGACTAGTATTGTAGGCAAAGCCAAATATGCTTTTAAAGAAAGAAAGAGTTTTTTTTTTTAAATGACACTTCCTTAGTTCTGAGAAATTATTCCAATGACTATGATTAAAAGACACATAAATGGATATTGCAAATAAGTAGGAGATATATCAGGTTCACATTTTATCAGTGAATTCTCTAAAAAGACATTTTTCTCCATCCGGGTGCTGAGAACAGAAATGTAGGATGAAGTGAAATAACAGAAGAGTTAAGCATAGAAACTAGAGGAGAATAGGGAAAGCTATGAGCCTAGAATCCCTATTTCTTCAAAAAGTCATAGATTCACTCTATTCATTTTATTAAATGGTGACTATTTCATTTAACCCCATTGGGTTCAGTGCTTGGGGGTAGGGAAGGACCTAGAGAATAATGTAGTTCTCTAATGTCCTTTTCTAGATGTTAACACTGGTCTTTATTTTATTGGGTGTTTGTGGAGTTTGGGGGCAGGGTGGGAGTGCCATGTGATATGTAGTATTTTTTAAGTTGTCACTAATTTTGGTTAAATAATTTTGTTTGAGTGCTTGTTAAAGCCCTTGAAGTACTGAGATAAATGGAGATATTTTTAATGTGGAGTCACTAACCACTAACCAAGAACATCATTGTGTTGTGGGTAAAACACTGGGCAGAATTTGAATCCAGGTTCCTTTCTGGTTCGGAGAAAGTCACTTAACCTTTCTGAAACTCAGTTTCCTCTTCTGTAAAATGGGGATAATGCTATTTGAACTATATATCTTATAGGGCAGTCGTATAGGAGAACTGTGAAATGCTTTATAAATGTGATATCGTTGTTCTCATTAGACCTTCCTAACACAAAGGAACTGGTCAAGATTGGAGCATTGAGCCCCATTCTACCTGTTAAATTTCATTGCAAACCAATAGCTCTAGTTGTGGGGATTTGGTAATCTTTTCTCCCAAATAGTTCCAGTTAGTTTTGAGTAGAGTAAGTCCCAAGACAGATTTGCCTGTGCATAATTGCAATTGCAATTCAGTTCATTTCAACTATATCCAATCCAATTCAACCCAACATTTATTCATTGCAAGGTACTGTGCTTG